TTCTTTTTATTTTTGCAGTTCGTTTGGGACCTGTAGCCGGAGCTTCCCCCTTTCGCCGAGATTTCTCCCCTCAGCCCCCGAGATAGCAGCCCCGGCTCGGTCCCTCCCCGCCGGTCCCTTCGCGCTCACTCCTTCCCTCCCCCACCGGGAGCCCGGGGGCGGTGGCAGCGCTGGGAGCGCCGGCACTGTGCCCCGGGCAGAGGCCCTGGCTGGGAGTCACACCGCGCCCGGCCGCTGCCCCTCTGCCCGCGAGGTGAGCAGCCCAGCGCCGGTGGGGACGCTGCTGTGCCCTGTGCTCTGTGCCCCGTGCCCCGTGCCCTGTGCCGGCGCCTGTCCCGGGGCCTGGCGGCGGCCGAAGAGAAACCCTGAAGGGGATGGGAGACGGGATGAAGTGTCCTTTGTCTGACGCTCTCTTTGGGCACGACGGATTGCTGGCTCGGGAGGGTTGTTTTTTTGTTGTTGTTGCTTAATTTTTTTTTCTTTTTTTCCTTTTTTTTTTTTTTTTTTCTTTCTTTTTCTTTCTTTTTCCCCTCGCTCTCTCTTCCCCGCCCTTCTCTTTTCCTGGCGGCCACTTCCATGAGGAGCCGGGGCAGCTCGGGGATCCGAGAGGAGCCGCATTCCTGTGGGTGCCGAGCGGCTCCAGGGCTGAGCCGCAGGGCCTGACACAAACACGCACAGACACACACACACACAGTCAGACACACACACACACACAGCCATGGGCACCATGGAAAACCCTCCCCCATGGATCCCTGCTGCGCTCCCCCACCATCTCTGCTCCCCTTGGCACGGAACGGCTTCCCTCTCCCATCCCCGTGTCCCCCCACCCGCAGCGCGGCTCTGCGGACACTTCTCGCCTTCTCTCCCCATCCATGCCCACTCCGTGTCCACAGCGATTACAAATATCTGTGATTCGTGCCACGCGATTGATACACTGAGGTGGTTGTGGGGGTGGCTGTAGGACGGAGATGTGTTGCTTCGGTAAAGTCGGGGTGGAGGGGAAACCCCCCTTCTTACTCTCAGCGCTCGGAGCGGCCGCCCGCAGCGGGGCAATGACCTGTCCGAGGGGTCGGGCGGGGGCTGTGGAAATGGAACCGCAGAGCTCGCACGGGGCCGCCCTTCCACTCTGCTTTTTTTTGAGTGAGGAAGAACCTGTGTTCCATCCTCGGTGCTGCCCTTTGTTCCGCGCGAAGTCCGCTCACACGGCGGCGGGGGCCGAGCCCCTGCCCTCCCCTGGTATTTGCGCACCCACGGGAGCCACGCTCCACTCTCAGGTCCCGGCCTCGTACTTTCCCTCCCAGGTGCGGGCCCGCAGCCGCCCGCCCGCTGCCGTCGCTCTGTCTGGTGGGGCTGCCTGAGCGCGGACTCCCCGGGCGCTGCATCCCCTGCCCGGCTCCGGTCAGGCAGCGGAGCCACCCTCCGCTCCTGGAAACTTCTGCTCTCTCCTCGATGCGCGTCACACAGCGCCTTCGCAGGGCTCGCGCTGCCCATGGACCTTATCTCTCCTTTCCTAAGCACTGCTTCCATCCATCGCCGCGCGAAGGAAGGCCCCGAGCTGCAAGAGCCGCCGCTCCCCTGTCCCCATTGTAGCCTCCAGCCACATGCGGCCCTGCGCCCACCGTCCCCGGGGTTCACAAAAGCGCATCAGGAGGCGAAAGGGAACCCCCCCCAAGCGCGAAGCCTCAGGTAGTCCTGTCAGTCGGGCTCTTTGAGCTTAATTAATGACAATTAGCAGGTTGCGCGCTAATTTCCCTAAGGATCTCTGCCTGCTGCTGCTGCAGGGGTGCGGGGCAGCGCGGAAGGCCGCTCCGCACCTCGGCGGGGGATGCGCGGCCGCGGGCGGCGGGCAGAGCCGCAGTGCGGGGCCGGGACCCGCCGCGTCGCCCCGCTCATCGCCCCCCAGCGCCCGTCAGCGCCCCGCGCCGCTCCCCCCGGGCCCGCACCGCCGCGCAGCGCTGATTCGCTCCTTTCTTAATTCCCGCTCCTCTCGTTCCCTCGGAATCAAACACTCTTTTGTCCTTCGGAGTTTGATTTGATCGCTCCCGTTCGCGTTTCACTTTTGTGTTTCTCTCTCCCTATACCATTACTCATTGAGTGCCCCGCGAAATTACAATCGTACATTTTCAACTCAGCAACCCATTTGCAGTGCAAAAATAGGGTCTGAATAATGGCTGAATGAGCCCTACTGGACAGTTTCAGATGTAACACTCCGTAATAATTACATCGCGGGCTGGATTAGGATGCTATTATCATAATCTGGACGTTTACAATTATCTGTAATTTGCAAAGATGCGCCAGGTCTTGATTACAGCCGTTTTTTTTATCAAGCTAACCATCACTAAACAGTGACAGTAATAACAGCTAATTTTGCTGGCAATATAAGAGGTGCCGGGGTGTGCAAACAATTTCACACCTGGATGTGCTCACTCAACCACGAATATAGAGAAAGCGCTTCTGCCCTGAGCCGCAGAAAAATACCCCGCACCGTTCGGGCTCAGTGTACGCGCGCGGCCCCGCGCCTTGCCGGACCCACCGGGCACGGTAAGTGTGGGGCTCCGCGCTCGGGGTCGATCCGCGCCTCTTCCCCGCCTCCCCCCGGGGCTCCGCCGCCGCTCCCCGCGCGATCCCCCGGCTCCGCGCCTCCGCTCTCCGCAGCCGTGCGCGGAGGGAACAGCGCGCACATCCTCGGGGCAGCAGGGCCGGCGGGAGGGCGGCGGAGGGGCACCGCGCAGCGCCTGCGGCGAGCGGCGGCCGAGCGGGGGCCGGGATGCGAGCGGGCGGGCGGGCGGGCGGGCGTGCCGCTTCTCGGTCCATAGATGCCGCTGTTTCATGAGAGTCGGCGGCCGCGCGGGTGGGACGCGGCTCTGCCCCCGCTGTCACTCGCCGCCCATCCCGCCGGCGGAGCGGCCTGCCCGTACCGCTTCTCCTACCGCGTTACTCTCACCGGGCTCTTTTTTATCACTCCTTTGCTCTTTCGCCGTCTGGCTTTCCCCGGATCCTGCCCTCGTGGGAGGTTGTGGGGGTGCGGGGGGGGAGGCTTCCCCGCGGCCCGCAGCGCCGGCTCGGGGCGGCGACGGAAGGGTTAAAACCGACTCGGCACAACTGGCCGGCCCGGCCCGGTTCGGCCCTGCCCGGCTCAGCGCATCCGGCGCGAAGGCCGCGCTCCCCCCTCGGCCCGCACTCGGGGCCGCCGCCGGTGTCATTTGAATAATGCGGGGAGCCCCGCTCGCAGCTGTACCGCCGAAGCCTCTTCCATTCTTTTCAGCATTATAATTTGGGTTAATTTTCAATTTTAGGCCCTACGTCTCTGCAATTTGTGTATGAATAACAGAATAATTTTCCTCTTTTGTTTCGCCTTTCCTGTTCCCGAATCTAAATAAAGATGGCTTTTTAGTATTAAAAGTGGAAGAAAATTACAGGTAATTATCTTTGACGGTAAAAACGCTGTAATCAGCGGGCTACATGAAAAATTACTCTAATTATGGCTGCATTTAAGAGAATGGAAAAAAAACCTTCTTGTGGATAAAAACCTTAAATTGTCCCCAATGTCTGCCTCAAATTGGATGGCGCTGCAGCTGGAGGCTTTGTTCGGGGCTGATCCTGGGGAGCTCTGAACCCAAAGTTTCACAGTGGGAAGGGGAAAAAAAGAAAAGAAAACCTTTTTCTTACTGTAACAATGCGAATGGTAGGAAATGACAGGACCGAGCAGCTCTAAAGCACTCCGAAGACTGACAGAGCGGGGATGTCGATCCAAAAAAAAAAAAAAAAAAAAAAAAACCAAAGCAAAAAAAAAAAAAAAAAAAAAACCAAACCCAAAAAAAACACATCACCCCCCAAACGGGGTCTCTGGGTAAGTAGTCTTTGCTTTGTGTCTAATTACAGTGAGTGTCCTTTGCACGCCTGTGTGTAGCTGTCATTAGACGGAGCGCTCCGCGGGCTCTGTCGGCCCCGCGGCCGCCGCTTCCCGCAGCGGTTGTCCCGGCGTTGCGGGGCCGGGGGTTGCGGGGCTCTGCCCGCCGCGGGGTGGATGCTGCCGTCGGGGGGCTCCGGGCCGGGGCGGCACGACGTTCTGCGCGGGGAACGGCGGAGGGACGGCACCGGGACGGGACGAGCTGCCCCCGGATTCAGCTGTGCGGGGCTCCCGGACGTTCCCCCTCCCCGGCGCGGGGCAAGGGCCGGGCTGCGGGGCAGAGAGACGCGAGGCGGGCGCTTGGTGGCTTTTACTCTAGATATGAAAGGAGACCAAACCATACAAAGTATTATGTACAGCTAAAATTCAACAATATATACAGAAAGGTCGCTCGGGAGGGAGGTCCAGCAGCAGGAGCGGGGTGTCGGGCTGCTCCGCGGGTCCGGCTGTCTGTCAGTCCGGCTGTCAGTCCGGCTGTATGTCTGTCAGTCCAACCGTCCGTCCGGCTGTCGGTCCGCCGGGGTTTGCAGGGTGCGGGGCTGCCGGCGGCTCTCCGTGCGGTTCCCGTCGGGCTGCAGACGCTCCCGGTACGCGTGCAGTCCGCGCTGCGTGGCCGTGCTCCGAGCTCGCGGTACATTTTCATTCGCAACCAGTTCTTTTTATTTAATTTGTTTTCCCTCTTCATTTCGTTACCCCTCCTTTTCTCTCCCTGTTTAATTTTTTCCCCCCATCCGCATTCGGGGTATGACAATGAGGGAGCTCGGAGCGGTCTCTCACCGCGCAGTGTCCATAGCTCACGGAACACAGAGAGACAGCCCTGCTGCGGTTCGGGTTCTTCTCGAGGGCGAAGTCAGCCAAAAGTCCGCGCACTCCGCACAGAAAGAGGCGGCGGTGCCCCGGGGTCCGAGTGAACATAGAGAAGCGTCTCCCCCGCGCCGCAGTGGGACGTGGCTCGTTCTGCCCGAGAGCGATCGCTGAGGTTACTTCAAAAAGATGAAACAAACGAAAGGCAACCCCCCCCCCCGCACCGCCGCTCCGCTCGGGCCGGGCCGCGCCGGGCGTCCTCGGGCCGTGGGTTGTCTCGGACAGTTCACATCATCTGCGGTCTCTGCATTGTGTCTTGGTGTGGAGAGGAGTACCAGTGGGAATAGCCGGGCATGTAGCTGTTGGGGGGCATGTTGACGCCCTTGGCAGACGCCGAAACGTCCCAAACCGGCGGCAGTGCCGGGGAGCGCGGGGACAGCGCGGCAGAGCCGGGCAGAGGGTCGCTCTCGTGGGGGTTGCTGCCCTGCTTCAGCAGCTTCTTGAACTTGGAGCGCTTGTTCTGGAACCAGATCTTCACCTGCAAGCGAAAGGCAGCGAGCGTTAGGGCTTCAGGAACTGGGGCTGTGCGGGCTGCGGGGACTGTGGAGTGAGCGCCGGGGCAATGGGTGCGGAGGCAGCGCCGGGACGGCCTGGGGATGGGGTGCGGCACGCATGGGGCGGGAGTCATTGCGCTCTACTGGTGCCTCGTTCCGAATTTTGGGGTGACTCCATCACCTGGCGGCTGTTGTCAGCCGCGGGCATCTGCCTGGTTTGGTGCCAGGAGCTAGGAGCCAATGGACAAAGGGCACCGTGCGCACATCGCGCATCCCAAAGCGTGCGCGGGTCCTGGGGGGGGGAGAGGCACAGCGGGGCCGGGCAGAGACTTTATTGGCACAGGTCTTGATCAGGAAATGGAAATTCTCATTTCTCAGAGAACTGCTGGCTGTGGGAACGGCTCCGGGCCCCGTCCCACCTCCCTGGCTGAGATCAGCACCCGGGTCGGGCTGCGGAACTCACTGTTATTATAGAAATTACTAAAAGGGAAGGCTAAAGTATATATGAAACTATATGCCTCTAAATCGAACAAAGGCGGCTTCCTGTGTGAATCTGACCTCACGGACTCGGCAGATGCACCGTTAGGACTACGTCTATCTGCACCGTCAGCTCGGGCCCTTACACCTGCGCGAGGGAAGCAGCGCGCACCGCACCCATCGCTGCAGCCACCGGCTCGTTTGAGGCGTATTTTAAACCCTCTGTCTGGAAGCAGCTGCTATTACTGGTCACGGCAAAGCACGGACTCTACTCGCTACAGCTCCCCTGGCCCAAACCCATCCGCCCGGCTTTCTCGCTGAGCCCCCGCTCTGGGCCCTCCAGCCCCTCTCCCCGAGGCCGAGATGGGCCCGGCCCGACGGTGCCTCGCGTTCGGCCCAGCCCAGCGCCACTGTTCCGCACACGGCCGCTCCGGTCCCCGCATCTCTGATCACCTCCGCACATTTTGCCCGGCGGCGAGCACTGCGTTGGCGTTCTCCATCCAGGCGCAATTAACCATCGAGCTCACAGGTATTTCCTAACGAGTTCCCGCTTCCCCTCTGCCTATAGGTCGCTGCGTGGCCCCGCTCTCAGCCCCGCACCGGGCCCAGCGCCTCCGCTTTGTTCTTCTCCTGCAGCCGGGCAGCGCTGGCGCCGCGATCACTCCCATCCGAACAGAGAGGCAACTCCAGCACTTTATTGTGGCGGCGGAAGGGCCGAGGGAAGGGTCCCGCTCGGCTCCTCCAGCGGCGGAGCGCTGCGCGGCGCGCACAGATCCGAGCGCGGCGGTGCGGGGCCGGGCCCGGGGCAGCGGGCGGTGCGGGGCCGCCGCAATTACCTGCGTCTGGGTCAGGCCGAGGGAGGCCGCCAGCTCGGCTCGCTCCGGGAGCGCCAGGTACTGAGTCTGCTGGAAGCGGTGGTTTAACGCCTGCAGCTGAAGGCTGGAGTATATGGTTCGGGGCTTCCGGATCTTTTTCCCTTTCCCGTTGAATCTGATCTCGCCGTTTTCGATCACAGTCGTTTTCTGCTGATCTGCAAAGCAAAAAGCCGCAGCTGGGAGCTCGGCCGCAGATTGCCCCCCAGCCGTCCCCCCGGGCCGCGGACGCCACATAACACCGTGCGGCCCCCCCGGGGGAAAATAATTAACAATAAAAATAACGAGTAAAACAAAAAACGAAAGCGGAAGGTTTGGAAGCCGGGGCCTCGCGGCAGCACACAGCTCATCGCCCGGCGCTCGGGAGGCAGCAGCCCGAGACCTGCAACAATGCTTTCTCCCCCCCCCCCCTCGCCCCTCCGCACGCTGCACGCAAACATCGGCTCCCTGCGAAAAACAGCGTTGCGCGGATATCGACGAGACGGCCCCGCAGTGCGATGGGGGATGCCGGCCCCGGGGGGAGGAAAGGGGGGGGGCACGGCGAAGGGGAGAGGCGAGGGGGGAGGCCGGAGCTCCGGGCCCCGCTCACCTGCGTCGTCCGGCCGCGTCTGGCTGGGCGCGCCGCTGGTGTGGTAGGACTGCAGGTAGGGGCTGTGCTGCGAGTGGCTCACGTAGGGGTAGGCGGCGAGCGAGCGGTGGTTGTAGGAGCCGCCGGTGCCGGAGTAGGGCGAGCTGTGGTGGTGGTGCTGGTGGTGCGGGTGCGAGCCGGCGGCGGAGTGCAGGCAGTGCAGCGGGTAGTGCGCTCCGGCCATGGCCGGCGAGCTCTGCTGCGAGTGGGGCGGCGGCGGCGGCTGCGGCGGCGGCTGCTGCTGCCCGAACTCCATGAAGGCGGATTTGGAGGAGTCCTGCGCGTCCAACCCGTCAGCCATCGTGGTCATGGTCATCATCGACGGCGGGGAGGCAGAGAGCGAGGCTCTCCGGCTCGCCCCCCGCGCCCGGCCGCCCTGCCCGGCCACCGCCGCGGCACCGCTGGAGGCGGCGGGTTTATTTTTTTAAGGCTCCCGTAGTGCGAGAGGGGCCTTGTTAACCGAGGGAGGGGAGGAGAAGGGGAGGGCTGTGTGCGGAGGGGGGGGGGGAAGGGGGGGCAGGGCTACTCCCGGCGCGTTTTGTCCCCGCTCCTCATCCCCCCGCCGGGTGTTTTTGGGGGCTGGCGGAGTCCCGGGCGGAGGTTTTAAGGTGGCTTCTGCCAAAGTTGGGCTCCGGCGCGCCTTCGGCGTGAAGGGCAGGAACGCCACAAGTCGAATGGTTCGGCTCCGGAGGGCAGCGCTTCCCCATTGGTCACTCAGCCTCCTGACGTCACCGCCCCGGCGCGCCACCGCGCGCGCAGCCCGCGGGGGCGCGCAACTCCCCGCCTCCCCCCGCCCCGCGCAGAACGAGGAGCGCGCGTTGCGCGGGGCGGGATGAGGTGCGGGGCGAGGGGATGCGCGCCCTCAACCCCCCCTTCCCCCTTCCCTCGCCCTTCAATCCCGATTTGCGCGCTATTTTCTCTCTTGCGCGCCGCCGCCGGCCGCGCGCGCGCTCCCCGCGCCTTTTTTTTCCCCGCATTATTATTATTATTTCTTTTTCCGCCTGCGAGCAGCCGGCTCCCGTAATCGCTTTCAAATATATGCAAATGGCTACGTGCGGTTAGCGGTTTTGGCAAAGCTTGATTAGGATATAAACGACCCAAGGAAAAGCGCCTTCGCCCTAAATTTGTCTTTAGATTACAATTCCGGTTGATTTTATTTTATTGTCAACATTGTTAATGATAAAAATAGAGTCGTTTTACAGTTATTTTTACTTTCTGGAAGGAGGCAATTAGACTTCTAATCAGGAATACACAAAAATCTCCCATGATTAACTGCAGTACTTTGTTCAAATTGCTGCTATAAAATTCAGAACAATTTGCCTGTAATGATTATGGACTGGGTTTATTTTGGGAGGTGGAATAAAAGTGGATATAGCATAAATTATCCTCTAATTATACACCAGTGTCGCCTCAATTATCCTCTTATCAAAATGGTTGTCTAACTGCCGCATTTAGTTTCAATTCTCTCCTTTTTTTCTATAAAAAGAACTTCATACCTTGTTATTATTAATCCATTTATTATTTGCAAGGGGATTTATATCCGAGCATCCAGGTGGTACTACCACTTCTCTCTCAAAGATGGACCGGGGAAAGACATTAACTTTGATCCGGCACCGCGGAGGATCTCTCTCCCCTCTCTCCCCTCTCCCTCTCTTTTCCCCTTTCCCTCGCTGACTTTCCTCTCGGGCAGCACAGCTCCAGAGCCGACCCCAGCGCGGATGACTGAGGTAGGAAGGACACGGCGTAGCGAGAACCGAAAGTTTCCGCAGCGGGAAGGGGCTGCTTGGATGGAGGCTGCGGGTTTTGAAAACCAACACCGGCACCGGCGGCGGCCGCTTGTGAAGCCCTCGCAGCCCGGAGAGCCCCGGAGCAGCGCAGGTCCCGACACCGCCTCGCACCGCGGCTGTCCCAGAGGACGCGTTCATAGATTTTTTTTGTTTGTTTCCTTTATTTATTTTTTTTTTTAACACGTCGCTCTCGGAAATATTCAGAAGGTCATTATTATTGTTAGTGTTATTTCGGATTGATTTTTTTTTTCTGATTTCCTATTCTTCATTTCTTTTTGCTGTTTGCCTCCCCCAGTCCTCAGCCAGGGCTGCTGGGGGTGCAGCCGCTGGTGCCGGGGGCCGCGGGGTTGCGGGAGTCGGGCACGGGAGCCCCGGGCCCGGTGTTCGTCTTCGGGCGCTGCGAGGGGGCTTGGGGGGGAGGGGGTGAGGGGGGGGGGCTTTGGGGGGGGTTCTTTTTCCCCCCCCCCCCCCCCCCCCACAGCTCCCGTCGGTGTTTCACTTCTCGAGCTTTCGGAGTCGGTTCAGTAACTCTGAATGAGGCTGAAGTGTCCTGCCTTGTTCCCCGGCTTTAACACGAGTTCCACTTGAACACGCGAAAGGGAAACCTGAGCAGGCGCGTATACCCCCACGGCGAACAAAAATATAGAGAATGGGGAGAGAAGGGAGAGAGAGAGTTCCTTCTGGGACTCTGTGTGCGTGGCTGTGGTGACATGCTCCATGGCACAGGTCCATTCTGCAGTACTACTGCTGTATCCCCTTCAGCCCGCTGCTAACATCACCAAGGCACTTTCCCGCAGGTGCACACGTTGGCATTTTCTCTAGCAGCCCGAGCACGCGTAACAAAAGGTGTCAGAAAATGGTCCGATGAGTGATTGCGACACGGCGCTTCCTTATTTCGAAATAATTCCCTCTGCACAATGGATGCTAACCGGGAATCGGGACGGGCTGGGCATGCAGAACGCTTTGCTTCAGTATCGAGGTGCCTCCTCGCAGAAAGGGTCGAGGAGTCTGAATCAGACACCGCGGAGCAGAAAGGACAGGGGAAAGGGGAGGGAGCCCCGCGGAGCTGCTCCCCTCGGAGGGCAGCAGTGCGACCGGCCGGACCCGGGCCCGGCTCAGGTTCCCCTGGAGCCGTCGGTGGGCGCCAGCGGAGCGGGAGCTCTCGGGGGCACCCCGGCACCCCGCGCTGCTCCCCCCCGCAGCGTTCAGCCACCCTCCAGAGCCGTCGGGACAGCTGACTCCATCCAGCCTCACACCGATCATTTCCCCCAATTTAATTAGGCAAATCTCCCGGTATGGAGCTGCCGTTGATTGGCCGATGTTAATGACACGGCTGCAAGGAGTCACGCTGCTTGTCAATATTTATTGTTTTCTTTTTCTCCCCCCTCAAACCTCTGCTTTCTTCGTGTCCTCTGGCTCGAAGGGACCACACTTTGGTGTCGTGTGGGAGACGGCAGATGTGGGGGTGTTTCTTCTCATACGACCCCCGGTATGTCGGAGATACCGGGGATCCAACCCAGCCACGAGTTGAAGAAATAAAACCTCGGGACTTAAAGGCAGAGGGGTGAGCCGGGGTGAGCCTCGGTCTGCTTTTCCTCTGTCGGGCTCCCCGCAAGCCCCCACGCTCGCCCAGGGGCACGGAGGCCTCCGCACCCCGAACCGGCTGCGAGCCGGGGAGCAGCGCGGCCTCGGTGCCCTCCGTGTCCCCACGGTCACGGGCGAAGAGCGGGCAGCGCGCACCGGGCAGCCCGTGAGAGGGACGGGGTGACTTCGTGCCGCCGCTGCCCTGTGTCACGTTAAGCCGCGTCGCATTAATGATGTTTGTGAACAAGGCTTTCAAAAGACCAAAGCGTGGTTTAAAGTTGCATTTGCGAATTGAAAGATGTCACAGAAGACACAACGCTTAGAAGGAGCTGACGAACAACAGGAAACGGGGTTCTATTTTTAGGGCATAAAAGGAAGTTAATATAAACGGCCAGAGGTTTCCTATATGCCTCGGAGCACCTTCTGTTCCATTCATTCATTCATTCATTCATGCGTTCAACAATAACAACAGGGGAAAACAAACATTCGCCTTTTCTTTCTCATCCCCTCGCAGGCTTTGTGCGGGTGGGCTCTGCGAGCGGCAGGATCCCGTGCCGGGTTGTTCCGCGCGTGGTTTGCTGGGGGCGGCAGCTGATGGCGCTCCCCAGGAGTGCGCTCGTTTGGTGAGGAGTAGCTGAAGGGCTGAGGGATGCTCTGCGCGTATCCTCCCACCCCAGTTCACATGAGGGCCACGGAGAGTGTTCTCTGTCCCGTCCCGAGTAGGGAAGAAGCGTCTTTCAGGAATGACATCCGTGCGCGCGTTTTTTTCCCCTAGAGAACCCACAAGCAATCCAGTCTCGCAATGCTGTTTTTCAAAGGGACAGAGAAACGCTCAAGTTTGGTGAGAGGACGAGGATCAGTGCCTGACCCTACGCTTTTTTAACAGCAGAATCGAATGAACAAAGGAAAGGGCAGAGCGCTGGGGTCTCCGAAAAGCGCCGGGTGGGGAGAGGTGGGAAGCAGAGGAATATTCCTGCTGGTAGCGAGCTGCTCCAGACACATTCTTGCGGAGCGGCTCCCACCGCAGAGGCACGGGATTTCTCCCCGGCTGCAGAACGGCTTCCACGCCCCCGAAAATCGCACGCTCGTGAAAATGGCACACTCGTGAACACTGAAAATCGCACGCACGCGTGCCGCGGCTCTCGGAGCGCTCCTCGGGCCACGCCAAGCGGTCGCGCAGAAGCGTTTGCCCTGCGGCGAGCGAATGCTCCCGACCTATTTTAAGGAGAGGCTCTGGATTTCAAGCCGCTACCATCGGAACAGACAGGCAGGCGTCGATGGCTTTCCATACCGCGAGTGTGAAGGAAGTGGCGGGGGCGGAGGGGTAAACCCCAAGCCCGGCCTCGCAGCTGGATCCCACACGCCGCTTTCTATGTCGGAGCGTGGGTCAAAATAATGGGAGGCAGAAGGGGAAAGATCCAGAGGGAACCAGCCACTGTCTCTTGTACAGATTTGTAGCGAAGGCTTCGCTGTAATTAAAACCTTACAGCCAGATTCGTTCAATGTGTGGCTCTGCGGAGAGCCGGGGGTTGGGGCTTTTTGTTTGCTTAATGTTTTGTTTTGCTGTTGTCGTTGGTTGTCTCCCCCGACGGGGTGTGGGATGGGGGCGGATATCTGCTTTGAAATGGAATTCGGCTTCGGGCTGCGGGTGGGGGACGAGACCCCGCGGAGCCGGGGCAGAGGGCCGTCCGCCTCCCGCACCTGCCCAGGTATGCGGCCAAGCAGCGGGGGGGCCTGGGGAGACCCTGCGGAGGGCTCTCCCCTCCCTGCGGGACACGGGGCCCGCGGGGGTCCGTCCGCTGCTGGGCGGGGGAGCAGCTCCCGGGGCAGCCGCTGGTGTGCGGAGCTCAGCCCGCGGGGTTTCGCTCTGGCTGCTTCCCCGGCAGCGCGGGAGCTGCTGAAACAGAGATGCTGGTTTTAGCGGGGACTCGTGTTGGTTTGTTTTCTT